AAGTTCAAAGAAAAAGTTGTGCTCTAGGGCATGAGGATGATCTTTAGGAATATCATATGTAGTTTGTAAAACCATTTTCCTTTAAAAATTTTCCTGTGATATATAATTTTCCCTGAATTTCTGTGATTAATTTTTAGTATATGAACATATGGAACGTTGACAGTAGCAGGTACTCCTAAAAATAAATATATACACAAAATATGTACTCATACATTTATTTTGTGTGTGTGTGTGTGTGTATAAACTTGAAATTTTATAAGAGCTCATACCTACAATTTCTCTTTTCCAGCTTCTTCCAGAATCATTTCAAATTCTTTCTCTTAACTTGTAGCCTGGAAATTTTATCTCTTTTTCAGAAAAAGAAAAAAAAAATCTTACATACCCGTGTGATTCTAGTACCTGGTACCTGTGCAAAAACTTCAGAGGAATAGAGCTATGACAGTACTGCCTTGATACAGGTAATCTTTCTCAAGGAGTCTTTTGAGCATATTTTGGGAGAAAGAGTAGCATTGAAAGTTATAAAATATTTGATAACTTGGCAAAGGAAGAAAAGATAAGAAGTTATATCTTGGCTATATAGTTCAGTTGTAAATTATATTAAAACTAAATGTCACAGAAATGCCCCATGGATCTTCGGCACTGAATTCTCTCACTGGGCTCATCATATGAACAATAAGAACTACAGCTATCATATGTAAAGTCTTTCATCTGCTAAGAGGTAATCGTGGGTATATATAAAGTATCTCTTAGAATCTCTCTCTTCTATCACTCAGCAAACTTGATTTCTCAGTTGTACCCACCATATAACATAGTAGACATAAATATAGCCTATTTTTTCACTCAGATATGCAGAAAATCTATCATCACTATTTGATTCCCTATCCAGTTAGATTTTTTAATATTTGATTTTGAGTGAACAGTCCTAATGTAGCCACACTCTATAAATGTGTTCCTTCAGGAATGAATGGATGTTTTTTCCAAGGAAGATTTACTTCCGAAGAATATTGCTTATATTTGAATGCTTTGGTATTGTGAATTACAATGTTTATATTGTTTTCTGACTATTATGTCAGAGAAAATAAAATGGATTTTCATGTGCCAAAATGGCATGTTTGCGATTAAAGATATTCTTCTTTTGCTCAGTTAGATGATTTCAACACAAATTAGTTCCTGTAGAAAGCAATGATAAAAGTCTATTGATATATGTTGGTGCACATGTGTGTCTCTGTCTTTTTTTACAGCTCTATTTCTAGAATAGCTCTATAGAAAATGATTTAGATGGCGATGAGGGGGAAGCAAAACCAAACTTTTGCTCTTCCTGAAGAAACTTCCGTGTTTATTTGCCTTTTTTGGGTGTATGTTTTTAATATAATTTTTTATTCAGCCTTATCCCTTATTTTTCCTCATAAATTTCTTTGCACTCACTTAGCACCTTTATAGTAGTGGTCAATAAGGTGCAAGATATATATTGCACTTCCAGCTTGGCTGCTGTTAGTAACTTTGGCCAAGCCACTGCACCCTGCTGGGCTTCTCTGAGCTTCTGTCAAAGCATGAAGCACCACGTGAGATGGTCCTTGGCCTTTTGGGAGTCTGTTTGCGTTTCATTTCTTGTATATACAGCAAACAGTAATAATGTTTAATTTGGAGATGCCCATGGCATTTTACTGTGATTTTTGTTATTTACTCTTTCATTAGTATTTTCCTTGCATGCATTCTGTATGCCTCTGCTTCAAAAGGAGTTTCTGAGCTCTGAATCGAGGAGCTCCTGTTTTATTCTGATAGATATCTGGCTTCTATCAGCGAAGGAAGGGTGATGATACTTAATGAATAAAATAATGAGGCTTATAGAGCCCAGATCCTCCTCCTGTTGACAGCTGTTGTCAGTCTGTGCTCCTTCACAAGCATTAAGAAAATAATGTGCAGATGTTTGCCTCACATCAAGGATGTAGATATGTTCAAGGTGGTATAGGTGCTTGCTGATAACAATTCTGTCCATGCACACATACCCCAGTTCCAGTAACAACTGTTTTTACTAAATGAGCTGCCTTGAAGGTGCCATAAGGACATGGAGCCACACGCAGAACCCTGCAGACTGCTTCATTCTCACAGAGCAACGTGATCTGGCTCCAGGGACGGAGCTGCGATGGGTTGTTGTGCCAGTGCTTGGAGAGGAGCTCATTAATGCTGTCTCTGATATTATGGCTAAGGGAACTGTTTGAGCTCATCACGACAAAATTTGGTTGCTGCAAAAGTTTGTACTGGGACTTGCTCAATATCTGCTTGTGCTAAAACAGATATGTAAGGCATAGCTTAAAAATGCACAGGGACTAAGCCTGCTTTTATGTAAGGGGGCTCTTGGCAGTTCTGAAGGAGCTGTTGGTGGTGTGTTCTGAATAAACAGCCTTCTTAAGAATCACTTTAATAATTTATAAAAATTCTTGTAGTTATTCTGCTCTAGCTCTGCATGGGTTGCAGCTGGGGTCCTCCACCATGCTCCAAAATGCAAGTTTCTTGATGTGACAACAGCACAGGTGGCTGCCACCAGCCCAGCAGCACTGCTGCTCCCTTGCCTTGGGGTCACCAAGTGCCTGTTGTGGCTCCAGCAAGCTGGACATGGCAGACTCGGGACCTACCGGAGAGGGGGAGCTTCTTGGAAACCTGTGCCCAGCACCGGAGGTTGCCTGTCTGCCTGGGCAGGTCTTGGCCCAGGGACCCAGTTGAGCCCAGCAAAGCAGCTCGCAGCTGCCCCTGGGTCCGAGGGAGACAAAGTGGGAGGAAAGCAGAATTTCGGCTTCCTAAGAGTCCTGCTGAGTCTCAGCCTGTTCTTGTTCCAGGCTGGAGAGGTAGGCTGCTGCTCTTGACATCCTCTGAAAAATTGTGTTGAAATATTAAGATCTTTTTTGGTGGTGTTGATAGAATCAAGTGGTACATTTTAAGCTTTTAGTGTTTCTGTCTTATTTGTACCTTAATATTTGCTTTACAAACACGTATACTGATGTCAGTTGTAATCTTACTGTTCCAAACATAAATTAACATAACAAACCTGACATTATTTTGCCACCAAAAATTAAAACAAGTTGTCATTCTTGAGACAGCCATGTAACAGGAGAACATTTTGGTGTTGGCGAGTCCACATTTTCCCTTGGGTGAAGGAGTTTTGCGAGGAGATCCAGGCCCAGCTCTGTGCCGGATGCTGTTGATCAATGCCTGTACTGTGCTTCAAACACTTAAAAACGTAAACGCTGCGTGTGGTTCCCGCTGCATGTGAGTATGTTTGCAGTGTTTGCACTGTGGGGAGGCCGGTGAGCTACACGAGCAGTAGGGCTTTCTTCTTTCTGCTATTTCTCCCACAAGTCACCCTGTAATGCATGCTGTGACCCCTATGGGCCTTTAAGGATGCCGGAGATAGCATTTATTTATTTATTTAGTATTTTTACCCTTCACAGAGCTTTACTCAGCACACATTTCTGCGCTCATTTTGTCGCGCCTGCTTCCCAGCAATTAGCTTGCTGTCCTCATCAAGCTCAGCAGGAGTTGGCGTAGCAGTTCATTAAGCCTGAAAATGAGCCCTGGAGACATGAGGATCCGACAGCTTGCTAATCCAGTGCAACCCATGTCTGTTGCACGAGTGTGATGCCTGCCACGGGCCCAGCTCTGTTTTCCCACCCTGTAGCCCTCATCTTCCTCACAAACTGACAAAGCGATGCCAGGATTCAGAGTCAGGACCAAGGTGGGAGCAGGACCTACTTGAGGCGTGGAGTGACCCAGGGACTGCATAACTACCAAGCACAAGGCCCTGCACCCACCTGCTCTCTCTGGGAGGATGCCTTGAATTAACCTGAAAAGGGCATTTTCTCAGTTCGCTTCCGAGATGGAGAACAAGCCCAAGGAGACAACTCTGCGCTGCTTAGAAATTCAGCTTGTTTCCGCTCTTTGTTTTCACTGGTGATTCATCTGCGATCAAAGTTAATGTGATAATGTAAATTAAACAGAGCACTAAAGCTTTTAGCAGGTGGAAAGAAAATAAATCTCTAGCTGCTTTGGCATCTGATGAGAGGTATGTGACATTTTGAGACTCTCCTAGAAACATAGTAACCAGATATTTTAATTGAAGTGGTAATTACAATCACATTTTTCCTCTTTCAGTGCATTGGTTTGAGTCAGTATGTGTTTTTATTGTGAGTCTGAGAGCTAGCATTTATTAAAAGTTTATCTTTCAAGGAACAAACCTGTAATAGCAGATGAATTCCACTGCAAATCATTCCACTTCGGAGTTGTAGGATACGCTGATTCCTTTTTATAGAATACACTTTACTTCTTGAGGAGTTTCTGCCGGGCTTCTGATGCACAGGACCTTGTGTGACCCTGGGAATGACCATCTACCTTAACAGGCCCCAAGGAATTCACCAGATGCTCACCAGAAACCTTATGTCCCCTCAACAGAAGGAAGAAATTAAACTGATGATAGCTCTTTTTACTCTCATTCCTATACAATATGTCTTGATCCATTTCTCACTCCAGACCAGTTTTGGAAATAACGCCATCACTGTCACCAACAAGAGTATGTTGCAAAATCCCCAGAGACATTTTTATTTAAAATGTTACTATCATAAAACTCCAGACTGTGAAATGAAGACCCTGGATTCACATTCAGCCCTTCCCCACTCCCCGCATTTCCAATGTATAGATGCGCCATCACAAAACATAAAACATGCTGCAGTGATACAAATATATTTTTTTGATACGGAAATTACAGTACATTATAAACCATGAAAACAAATTGAGGCACCAGACTGTACATCAGTTCTGTTCTGCACTTGTTGTGAAGCTGATAGAATCGCTTTCCGTGAACAAAAGAATCTGGATTTTGTTTAATGAACGTAACTTTACAGGGCATATCAAACAATGTGCTTTGTTGTAAGACATCACCAGGGTTGCTGCTCCAGGGGAGCCCTCCTTTGAGAACCACAGCACACTTAGACAACGTGTATCGCTGCCACAATATGAAAAATAATCATTTTATTAAATGTACAACTCAACCCCTCCCATCAATTATTATTAAATAAATAATTACTCCATACAGTGGTTAGTTTACATTGCACTGCATGGGCCAGTGGAACAAATGAAGTTTAATAAATAACGCACGGGAATGTCTCATTTACGCCTCCGCTCGTAACTCTGTGCTATGCTCCTCTCGGAGGATCCTGTGGAAAAGGAAACAGAAAGAGACACGTTGGGAAGCCCTGTGTAAACTGCAACAAGCACGAGCAATGGTAGAGCTAGTGAGCCCACCACTTCACCCCCACCATCAGCTCACACAGACGTGAACAGCAGCAGCTTCATCTGGCTCCTGCAGTTAGGGCTTGCCAGACTGGACCTAGGCTCTTCTGCTAAACAGGCAATAAAATTGCACTTTCTTTCTCCACATGGATTGATTTCAGTATCCCTCCTGCATGTCTGATTTTTCTAGATTCCACATGGAGTATTAACCTGAGTGCACGAGCTGTGTGGGGACGTCAGTGTTGGACGAGGATTCGAGATTCCAGGGCTGCAGCACCCTGGCCTGACACATGAGACCTAACATCAGCACTTACACCTAACAGCATAAACCCTCTAATGCCAGGGGCCTCAGAGGGATGCTGAATAACAGAACAAAAAATAAATAAAGAGAAAAAAATACTACCTTATAGCATCAAGAAAAGGAGAGACTAATTCCTGTCCTGTGCATTTTTTGGTGGAAATTTAACATTTAACAGCTAGGAGGGGCAGGAAACCTGAGGCAAATTCCTGATCTTGTCTGATTACACAGTGATTGGGACCATCTCCTCCTCAACAGGAGCAAAAGCAACTTCTTGCCATTTTTATCTCAGGGAATTGGGCAGGAAAGCGGTGAATTCCTGTTGAACCTGTCAGGTAGGTGTTACATAGCCTGCCAGGATAAAATTTCATTACTCCTCTCTGACAGAGATAAATACTTAAATGTCATTTAACAGTATTCTAACTACACCAGTGTTTTGGAAATTAGGGCAATAAAATCCTTGCCTTTTTAAAAACATCTTTGCTATACCTTACCTTCTTGTATGAATATAAATGTAATCCCAATGGAAACCAACCAAATTTATCACTTCCAGTCTATTTACTTTCATGGTAGTGGGTATATTTACAGGTATTATGCATTTAATAGTTATTGCCACCACAGATAAAATGGTATGAAATTATTCATGATACATAGCAATTTGCAAAATGATGCAGGGAGCAATATTACTAGTCTGAACAGAGTTTAATTGAAAATAAAAGTTACTGACAACCATAATTGCAGAATATAGATCACAGCATGTATCTACATAATATAAAAGTGTCAGCTAGTAATTTAACTTTTATCATTCATTTAACAAAACAGCGAGAATTATTTCAGAGACATGAAATAGGCGTCAGGTTTTTCTTTCTTTTTCTTTTCTTTTTTAATTCCTTTTCTAGGGAATTAGCTGACACTTTATGGCTCACTGCAAGAGATTTCCCGCATTACTACGTTACAGTACAGGAAAGCTGGAGGAGCTCGGAATTACCCTGAGGGGTTGCTCACAGGAAGGAGCAGGTTTCTGTCCTATATACAGCACGGGGAAAATAAGAGGTCACAGGATGCATTCAAAGCTTACCATGCTGTTTGTTATTTGTAAATAAAATTAAAAACTCTGAGAGGCTGGGAATGTTTAACTGTTTGAACTGAAAAATGAGGGAGTGATAAGGCTAGATCTCCGCTCTTTCAGCTCATGCTTTGAATTTATCAAAAACAATGATCTGCTAAGAAGGTGAAAGAGTATCTTTGGCTGAGCAGATTTAAAAGTTTAAAAGAGCATTATGATTTAAGCTTCCAAACTTCTCATGATATGCCAGTAATTTTTTTTCTTTAATATCATTTTGCAGACTGGAAGAACACGAATAACATTAGGATAAGGAGAGCAAGGAAAATGCCCCGGGTAATCTTACTTGATTTTCCTTGCATTTTGGCAGCTCAAGCCAGGCCTGATCACACAAGCATTGGAGTGTATTGAACCCTGAGATATTCAGATTAAGGAAGAATATCCTGATCCCTTTTCAGAGAGCTCTGGGTCTGCACCGTGCAAAGCCTGCTTCATCCATCCCATGGCACGGAACAAGGAGGTAACAGAATTAAGCAGCTGTACATTACCACATATCAGATTTAGCAATATACCTACCAGAATTTAAAGATCTTTTGCCCATAAGTCCAACAAAGGAGTCTGTTTTATGCCCTGAAAAAGAAATACATATTTGGAGATATTTCAATGCATTTTAACTAGGTAGGCTTTTAAGACGTGTTCTCATTAGGAAGTAAGGCACAGAAACTGTTCATCTCACACATTAATTTTTCTCACCACTCTCAAACGAAGGAGAGGGTAATCACTAGGAGTACAGATTAGACCAAAGCACAGGCAAGTTAGTGAAAATCTTCCTTTGTTTGAGGGGAAGCCAGTGGGACTCTGTGTCTGGACATGACTGAGCTAGACAGTCTGGCTCTATTTTTGGAATATTCATGAGTTCAAATATTACCATCCTGTCCCACTATTACTCCTCGAGGCACTGGTTGTGTAGAGGATTAATTACTCCAAGGTTTGGCCTATAGCATGTATCAGACATAGTGATAGCTATAGTTTCAGCTAAGGACCAAAAAGGAGCTATTCTTCTTTTCTCAGGCTGACGTGAGGCCAATTTATAAATTTCTCTTTGGAGGGAGCTTTGCTTGGCTAATTCATCTACAAAATCTGATGAATGAGTTTTAGACCTCACAGGTATTAACTAGAGCTGAAGCAGTTTGCGGCAGCTATCATTTTTTCACTTTAGCCAGCAGCTATTTGTCATGAGCTTTGGACGGGACCCTCCTTAATTGTTCTTCAAATAAATAATCCCGCTGATAAAACCTAGTGACTAACAGAGAACATTGGGATACATATGGACCTCTGGGGACAGCTGACAAAATACAGGAAGATCAATTTTTACTTATTAAAAAGTCTTCCAGATCCCGTCTAAGGTAATTGCAGAGAAAAAACTGTTTGTCAGCGTGAGCAGCAGGTAATACCACGCTGCTGACACCATCTCCCCCTCGGTGTGACACAGGTTTGAGCCAGACAAGCTTATTAATGGTGCACGCCAGGCTTGTTTACTCAGCAGCGCATCGTCGATCAGCCCATGCCATGACGGGGCTCTGCTCCACAGCCAGGCATTGCTGTGGGCCCCGCTACAGCGTCTCACATGTGAATCCATGTCATCACTCAGAGATTGGGGAATTTGCTATTCTGCTCTCTTAATTCTTTCAGCCCGAGTGTGGCGGTAAGTCTGCCTTGCCCACGAGAAAGGTTTGCAGAATGGGCCCCAGAGAAGCAAGAGCTGCAACATTCACACATTAATGCAGACTGAAATCCCAGAGCTCGCAGACATTCATTAAATCTTTGCTGCTGACTCTTCTATCCTTTGAGAGGATATTTCACCATCACCTGTGTTGCCAGTCCTCAGCTGAACAATCCACTAAAACATATTGTTCTTCATCTGAATATCTTTTAACAGATATTACATTTATTATTTAATTATAATAGATATTATTAATATAATAATATATATTAAATATTTAAGATGTTGCAGATTTTTAAACTTACTTTTATGAGAGATCTGGCCATATCCTGCATGGAAGAGGAAAGAAAAAGAAGGCAAAGAGCTATTCAAAAAGGATTGGCATATATATATGCTATTTCTGTGATCCTTTGAAGAAAGAAGTACAGAAACCAGACCCATATTCAGTGT